ATCATGAACAGAACCGATTGTTTCTGTTTAATATCTGATTAAGAGAACTGAAGTCCTCGTGTGTAAAATGACCCGTCATGGCCTAAAATAAGAGTTCAGCGTTCCTGCCAGTTCTCAGGCCTGTGCGAGACCTGCTTTGAGGCTGGAACTCCTGTTTCTTCACTCGAGATGACCCCTACACATGTATCTGTATCAAACTGTTTAATACAGTACTTTAGGTTCAAAACGCACTTGTATCGAACAGTACAGATTTTTAAAAATGTATTTGATCAACTTGTCTTCTGAAGATGCTCTGTATTGAAGGCTCAGAGGATTTACATTTAACTACTCCACCCAGGCTGCATTGTTGAGTGCAGATCCAGATCCACTGACAACTTGCTGTTTCAGCAACATTTAATTTAAAAACTGTACTTTTGAGGTTAAACAAATGTTCACAACTAATTTCAATAAACTGCAAGTTAAGAAGGGCATGGTCTTTTTTGTATCAAAAAAAAAAATCAAACCACGACACTAAAGTATCGTACAGGTTTTTTTAAAATATGCTTTTTCAGATCATTACATAATCAACAAAATAAACAAACAAAAACCCTCAAAGTACCAAACCAGCAAGAAATGTTAAGCACTGTATTCATCCCACAGTTCAAAGAGTTGTTTTTGAGGTACTATCTTATTTTCAGGGCGAGTTGAAAGCTATACCCCAGGCTTCGGTTTAGTTTCAGATTCTTGTGGTCAAAAAACATGAATAAAAGAAAAAAAAGCGGAATCAAAGTTCTCTAATAACTCCCTGCTTCACAGCAAATGTTCCTGCAATTTGAGCACTCTTACTGAAAAGTTCCCAAAGCTCTGCAGAAACAGTTCATAAATAAATCAATGCATCCTAAATTCATTTTCATGATGTGTTTAAGTAAGTAAATATATATAAAAAAACATTCAAAAACTTAGGCTTCTAATTATTGTGGCATCTGTGTGGAGTCATAAAACTATTTGAGCATTTTACTTTAAAACTGAATTCAACAAGTAACTGATGCCACATGCTAATGATCCCACCCACAGACAACTACTGTTTTTGCCCCAAGTTTTATATTTTTATTACCTAACAGAGAGTCAACAGACTGGGAGTTGCTGACTGAGTCTKGGTTGCCTCGTCTCTCTTCAGCCGCAGGGTCCTGACAGATCTGACTTTCCACAACTGAAGAACCTCTGGACTCGAGGGCTGCAATCTGAAGTCCCAAAAACAAAAAGTCACTGGAGCTGATTTCTCTGCAGGTGAATAAACTTCCAGTTTTATTGATGCTGAATCTCACTCTTTTCTGTAAGCTCTCCAGCTGCTCCTTGTACAACTTGTCTTTTTCATCTAGGAGCTTTTTCAGTTCCTCCTCTTTCTTCACAAAATCTATTTCTCTGCAGGGGGAAGAGAAAATATCTGTCTTAGTATGTAATAAAACAATGTTTAAATATAACCCTAAATCTATAAGAAAATAAATTATTTCCAGCCATTTTAAGTATGATGCACAAAATACAGAACAATCCTGTCACTGCTGTCATTATACTACAACAGTCTTTAGATTACATTTTTTTTCTTGTATTTTCACATCCTAAAATTCTCATTAATATAATCTGGGTTGCATAACCTACCATCTATCATTTACGTTTCTGTACAATTTGTCTGTTCTGCTTCTACAATAACTATTCAGAAATTTATTTACGTTAATTACTCACATAATCTACACATCATTAGAATAAATATGATTCTGACTTAAACATAACCAACACCTGAAACAATTAGGCATTCTGTAATCTAAAACAGACTCACTTTTGCTGGTAGTCCTTGATTAGTTTCTTAGCCTTGTTGTATCTCTTGTCCAGCGCTTCGTACTGAGACTGAGTCTCGGCTAATTGTTCGTTCACACTCTTACACACCGCCTGGGCTTCCAGCCAGTAATTCTCCAACTTCAGGATTTTATCGCTGTTATCCTCAATTTTTTGCTCCAGTGCAGATTCTCTTACTTCCCACAATGATTTGTCCTCGTCTGATTGCTTGAGCTGCACAGAGAAAGGGGTCATGTTAGTTTAGACAGATTTGCYTAATAATTTGCTTAGCAGATGAGCCACTAGTTGTCAGTCTCTGTATTACAGTTTGTGACAAAAGCAGATGTAAAAGAACTAGGTCACACATTTTTTTCTGCATTAAGTGTGACTCTTTTTGTTGTTTTACAAAAAACATCTAAAAGCAACAAAACAAATGATACATTAAAAGTGTGTTTATTTTACTGAAATGAAAAGGTGAAATAAACCTAAATAATCACAAAGTACAAATAGGACATAAGAGCTCAAAGTCAAACTGAACATTTAATATAAACACAAAGATGGTTTAACAAACACTAAATATTGATGGACATCTATATTGAATTTTTTCATTTAATAAATACTTTGAGGCATGAATTTTCTATTTTCACTAACATAATTCAAGTTCACTGTCATCCTACCTTTTTCTTTAGTTGATTTATTTCAGCTACTGCGATGCTGTGCTTAACCTGCAGCTATGGGAAACAAAGAAAATGAAATGCGWTGTTTCATACGATTAAGTAAAAAATACAGAAAGCCAGACAACAGAACGTTGACAAGGGTGTACCTCTTTGAACTTGAAGGCCATTTGGGAGGCGTCCATGTTGGTTGGCATGAACAAGGCCTCTGAATCGGGCAGCTCAAACACCTCTACGTTCCTCCCTGGAGAGAAATTGGACCCCAGAATCCTTTCTTCGACTACATCGTCCTCCTCATACCGCTCCTCCTGAAATATACCACGTTGTTAACTCCAACACACCTTTCTACACAAATATATATTCAACACTATGTCTACAACACTTCTAATGTCTAACCCACTCTGGATGAAAGAGTGTAATATCTTTCCATCAAAAGATTTCATTAAACTTTCTTTAAACATCATTAAACTGAATCACAGGAGATACTTCAGGAGCTCAGCTACACATGTTCACAGCATTACAGACAAAGAACGTGAGCAACATTCTCCCTTTACTTAACCAAAGACCTTTCTGAATTTGTCTGCTCCAGTAAATCCTGTTAAGTCTTTGCACAGTTCCTCTGTTGCAAAAACAGAGGCTTGTGGTAGCTTGAACTTCAGAAAGCAAACATTTCACAACTCCGACAGACAGATGGAGGCTGAAAGAACCTTTTCCAACACAGCAGATTTGTGACACATGGGTCACTCACAGCCAGATGCTAATTTCCTGGGTGAGCTGAGAGGGATTGGGCTGGGAGTGGTAAAGGGGCTTATACTGTGCTCATGACTTGACATAGTTAGACATTTTAGTGTTGCAAAAAGCCGTTTGTGAATACAGTACAGATGAATAATCTATTACAAATCTATGGTCTTTATGACCAGCTGACTCACCTCTTCTGTAGAGTGTTCATAAAGATCATCCAAATGCTGCTGCTGGTTCTTCTCCTGCTCTAGTGTCTCACTTATGAGGCGTGCTACCTCGCTTTGAGTTCCTGGTTTCTCCCGTCCAATCAGGAAACTGTTTTAGATGGGACCAAAAGTACACAGTGAACAATGTAACACTACTCACACTGCAGAGAAACCCTTAGACTGGACAGGTTTTTGTCGTTTTTTTCACTAGAAATATGCAAATTGGACATGGAATTTCAGACTCACCCTGTAGCTGTGGGTGTCTAATTTTCCTATGATAGATCATTAGCATAATACCTCATTTAGCCTATTTCAGTTTAGAAATAAAATCATGCCAAACCTCAGGCCTGTCATGAAACAAACAGCACACTCCTGTAGCCTGAAAAATCCTTACATGAGGAGTTGAACTGACCTGACTGTGCCTTTGGTGTTCTTTAGCACTGTTGCAGCAAACAGCTGGGTCACTCCCACCAAACTGATACCATCCACTTCTACTATCTGGTCATTCACCTGTATCCTGCATAAAACACAATATAGTGCATTTCAAAGGATTTTAATTTACTGAGTTATGTGCACTCCTTTATCTTGGCAGAAAAATACAATCTTTTTAATCAGCAGACAAAAAAGTTTAAAAAAAAGTTTCTCCAACTTTATTGTGAGATTAGAACTAAAACTGGACTGTTTTGTCATTTATGCTTTTGTCAAAATATTGTACATCCCCTGAGGAATTAGGAATTCCTGCTGTGCAATACTAAAACCAATTATTAAGCCTTATGCATGTGTTATTGAGTGACTAAATTGTGATAGACGACAGGAGTTTACAGCTACATACAAAGGAAATTTATGACACTAACTCACCGCCCGTCTTTCTCAGCTGCTCCATTCTCTGTTATTGTTTTCACAAATATGCCGAGTTTTTCCAAACCCTGGTCAGCTCCCACTCCCATTCCTATGATACTGATCCCAAGTCCATTGTCTCCTGGTGGCAGAAAATTTGTGTAGATTTTAAAGAGTGGGTGAAAACAAATTATCTGAATGTCATGATTTTATATGCTTGCGATGTTTTTAAGATTGTGCATTGAGCACATTTAAGAAATCTTTTTTCAAAACATAAAATGCAAATGAAAGACAATTTAAAACACACTGAAATTAAAAAAAACAAAACAATTATATTGGACTTAGTTTGACTTTTTCTGAAAATTTCCACCTTGCTTAGGACTTTAGTTTAGACCAACCTTTTTCAATCTCCACTGGAAACACATCCATCTTTTCCACTCTTTTCTCCAGTTCATATTCTGCTGACGCGGCAACTGGGTCAACATCGTCATTACGCCGATCATAGTCCTCATTGGAAAAGGTACTAAAGACCTGTGTTGGTCAGAATGAAATAATACTAAGTTAAGAATCAGACAAAGTTTTATTGTTTTGACACAGACAGACACTTTATTGCTTTGTTATCTTTCTGGGATGGGTGCGTGGGGCTGTTACATTGTTGGTTTTACAGACATTGACAGGTGAGAGAGAATTTCACTCCCTTAACCTTGGAAAAATAAAACACTGGTGTGTTGATCGAGCTCACAGCTGCTGAGGGGCAGATAATTTGGACCACCAACACTAAACTCAACTCTTTCACTTGTTAAACAAATATATATATATAAAGTTTCTCTTCAAGTACCTTTCTGTGAAAACTATTGTGACAGATTTAATGACACTGAAATTTTAAGCAGTTGTACATTTTGCAGGCAGACTTCTCAAAACACTGTATGTGTCTTAAAAAGTGTTTACAATTATAAAAAGCAGACAGGCAGTAAGAGCAATGGGAAAAGTAGGACACAGCTGTGGAAAACTAAACAGTGGATCTTACAAAAATGGATAATTGCACATGACAAGTATTTTCTTATTGAAAGTAACAAGAAAAAGGAGTCAATTGCAGATTAAACAAAAACTATTATCCATTAGTTAGATATTTTATAGAGCTCTATTAATGCTTRTACTTTTTACCTTGAATAGCACTGAAGAGATAAAACAATCCCTGCCTAAAAAGCTTCCTGTGTGCTGCAGCAGCCGGGCTCTTCAAACAAATGCCCAGAACAAAGAGAACAGACCATTTTTTTCTAATCTTTCCACTACTTCAGACCACAGTAAAGAAAAAAACCTTAGCTTTGTTATAAAACTTCTGGGGCTGACAGCTCAAGGTACTTTCGTGTTGAAATGTGGCTACAGACATCAATGTCCAAGTCTTAAAATCTACAAATTGCTTTCTAAAGAGAAATACGTATGTAGAGGAAGTTTTTTTTCAAATCCAGATAAAAGGGGGTCTGTCATAAGTCTCTGCAACAGTACAATACCCTGGTTTCATGATACTTGCTATAAGTGATTAAGATAAGTATCTACAAAATGATTATTTTTCAAAGTATTTTTGATTAGATAGAATAAGAATCAGTGACATGAATACAGTGCAAAGTTCTGCATCATCAATTACCACTAAGTGATACAATCTGGTTCCATTTGATAAGAAACTGATTTATATGCAGACTGATTTAAATAGTTATTTTGGCTCCAAACTCCCGTTTGATGTTGGCCAAATGCTGAACTCAGATTCAACAGAGCAGTTCACAGATCACAATAAAACAATGGCTTACTAATGGTAGGACATGTCTTCTGGACATTGTTATGGTTTGCAAACTATGTTGAAGAATATGCAAATTCACCTTCAGGTTTTACCACAAGGAAAAAATAAGACAGAAATGGATGGCATACACAATCATAAAAGTTTTTATCATTTGCTCTAGACCTTCTTGTGAAGAATTTATAATAACACCCCAACTCAAATTTCATAAAGATCACTGATAAATTATGAATGAAGTTAAGCTTTTGGAGATTATACTGGAGTGCAGGAATGAGGTCATACTACTTTCTTCAGACATTGTTTTCCACTTACTTGTCACTAGTGGACTTACGTGCATCAGTTTTTAGAGTACAGTGTTTTGTCCTGCCTTGTGTTTGCTCTAAACAGTTTTAATCCACACTATTTGTACATATTTCCCAAATGCTCTAGCTATGAGAGACTGAGTGAACATCTACTGTGAAGACCATATGTGAACAATAATAGGGGAAAACAGTCTGAACCCAAGTGTTTACATATTTCACTAAAATCTCTGGTTTTCAGAAATAGGAATGGCTTCAGTTACAACAATGTAACTAGTTTATTCTGTGGAACGATAAGCTTTGTCAAAAACATTTTTTCTCAAATAAAAGAAGTCTGAAGCATGTTACAACACTTTTGAGCTGCTTTGAGTTTATTTTAAATGAATGGAAAAAAGATTTTTGAGCAAATGTGTCCCAAAGTAAACTTCATCAATGGATTTTTTTTTCTTCCCTGATGGTAGAGGCATATTCTAAGAACATAATACCAGGATTCATCAGGCTCAAATTGTTGTTATGGCCTGAAGCCATTTGTTTTGCATATGACTGTGTTACAGGTGTGTGATCTGCTGGGCCTGCTGTGCTGTGACAGCTCAGCCATTGGCTGGCCTCTTCTAGCTCCTCCTAGTGGACCTCCCCTGCATTTGGATTGGATCATTTAACTTCTGCTTCTCCATTCATAGAATACACTCTCCTTTATAAGTCCTGCTCTTGTGTTAATCAGGGCGGCTGTGATTAGATTGAGCAGCTCGCCATTTTGTCTATGGGTTTTCATGAATGTTTGGCCTTGGCTTTGTTGTTTCAGCCAGGTCTAGTTTGTAACCAGTGGGTTAATTAAAAGTCYCTTTGTGTTCTTAGTTGTACAAACTGTGTGTGTTTTTGTTTTGGGGTAGACTAAAGGGTGTACTTGAGAACTTTGTTTAGTTGTTTGTAGTTTTCTTGGTTTTAAGGCTCAAAGCTTTAACTAGACTTTTTGTTTAATATAGCTATTTTATCAAACATTCCATTGACTGGGTCACTGTTCAAAGTACTTTTGTATTGTTTTGTTAAGCTTGTAACATCACTATATTTTCTTAGTTGGTGTACTTCTGTTTTGTTGTTTTTGTTAAAAAGTTGCAAACCGTTTACTGGCAATTTGTACTTTTAGAGTACCCTCTTTTTGTTAGAATTGTTTATTTTGTTGACTGGCCACTAGGGTTGCCACGATTAGTCGACAACAAATTGATTATTAAAATAATCGATGACTAATGTAATAATCGATTAATTGTTTGTTTGTTTTTTGTTTGTTTGTTTGTTTTTTTGTTCTTTACTTTGTTTTTCTCTCCAAACTGCTTCAACACCTTCCACTGCCACATCTGCCTTTCTGTCCTTGACACACATAACCGTAACTGGGGTAGACTGTGGACGTCACAAGACATTATACAGACAGGCTCTAGTATCATGGCTACCTGACAACGGAGCTCGAAAGTGTGAGATCATTTTAAGAAAATGAAAGAGAAACCTGTGCAATTAAATATCAGCAAGGCAGAACTTGTCTTCCACAACAATTATTTTTAGTTAGCATACAGCTAAAATCTAACGATGTTTATATAATATCAGCTGCATTCTGGCGCGATAAGCTGTATGTTTTATATTCAATTACCGTATGATCCGATTAGTCAACTAATCGGAAAAATAACTGGTGATTAATCGATTATAAGAATAAACGTTTGTGGCAGCCCTACTGGCCACAATAAACTTTTGACCAAATTGACCAATTTCATCTGGTTTTAATGTTACCTCACCTTTTCCTGGTTGAGCTGGATTGTAACATTGTGAAAGAGTGGTTCAGGGAGCATGAGACATTTTCACACATGGATTGGYCACCACAAAGCCCACTGAGAATCTTTGGGATGTGCTGGAGAAGGCTTTGCGCAGCGGTGAGACCCTACCACCATCAATGCAAGATCCTGTTGAAAAATTAATGCTATGGATGTAAATAAATCATGTGACATTGCAGAAGCTTATCAAAACAATGCCACTGCGAAGGCATGCCATAATCACAGCTAAAGGCAGTCCAATAAAATATTAGTCTGTGACCATTTTTTTGGTGGCAACTTTTTATATGGCCAGGCAGTATATGTTTCTTAGTTTAGTGGTTTCACAGTCACTGTATAATTATAAAACAAAACAGTGGTGCATCTGAACCTACAGACAGTGCAAAAAAAAGGATAATTCAAGTTTTGAATAGAGTGGAATGAACGTAAAAGTAGATTAGAATTAAAAGACTCCATGAGGAGCTAATGCCTGATTATTAGGATAAATCCAACAGGAAAACAAACATAAACCCTCTGCTTGGGCATTAATAGTTCTTAACATGGTTAAACCATAATATATATATATCCATAGTCATAAATGCAAAAAAAAAAATTACAACTATTGAAAGAAGCAACTGTAAGCACTCTGATAATTTGCCTCCACTGCTTGCACGAAAAGAGAGGGAGAATGACAGATTTTGAAAAATGTGAATTGAAAGAATACAAATAAAAAAGAATGTCAATCAATCAATCAATCAATCAAACAAATTTATTAGGTCATAATGTGTTCATATTTAGGCTCAACTTAAATTGTTTTCAGGCACAAGCTGAGGTGGGATGCAGTGTTGAGACAGAAGTCATCAAGTCTGGTAAAGTAGAAGAAAGCAGGACAAACTAAACTTGGGAAGAGGTTACTTTGGGTTTTGTTGATTTGTTTTTGTGACCAGGTTTGTGTGTGCATCAAAGATCATCTGCATCTTTTGTAAATTTTATGTTTCAGCTTTTGAGCAGCACATATTGGGACCAGGGATTTCAAGTAAAGTGTTTCTAGTAATAAAACACAAAATTTTCTAAAAAGCAGCTGAAATTTCTAATTTATTTTATGGGAATAAAAAATCATCATGTTATGATTGGCTAATGCAGAGCAAAAGAAAAAAATGTTACTAGATCTTACAAGTCCAGTTTTAAATGAAAATAGTATATTAGTTGATAAMATTCTTGTCCAATCATTTTGAAAAAGAAATCTGCATATTTATGTAGTTTTCAATCTCTCTCCCGACATTGAACAAAAATGTGGCTTAAATATTCGCTGTTGTCTCAACCTTCACAAATAAAGTAGTTAAAAAAGTTGGTATGCAGCTTGTTAACATTTTAAGTGCTGATTTGTTCTAATTCCAATATCTACTTCACATTCACTTTTTTATTATCACTAGGCATGGGCCGAATACCGGTTTCAAATAACATGATATGAAAATGTCACGGGTTGAAAACCACTAAAATCTTCTGTCATACTGTGCCTACGGTATACGTTTTTTTTTTTGTTTGTTTGTTTTTTGTTTTTTGTTTTGTTTTCCCCCTAGGGTCTGTTCCGCAGCAGACTTTCCCCCACGCAATCCTGCAGAGCTGCCTGTCGGCACTCGCTGAAAA